CGAAGCAGGCGCCCTTCCGCAGCCCCACGGCCCCCAGTGTCTTCAGCCCGGCCGGGAACCGGACCCCCATGCCCCCGTCGAGGACGCCTCTGCGGAAGGAGAGGGGCGTGAAGGTGGGCGCGCCCCGTCGGTGTCTGCCCTCGTGGCCGGCCTTGGCGTGCTCCCCACCGTAGCTAAGGCGACCCGTCTGTCTCGGCAGCTGCTGCACATTTCTGAGCTGGATACGGTTGGTGCCGGCCGAGAGGCCAAGAGGAGAAGGAAGACACTGGGTGCGTACCTGGGCCCCCGGGTCAGCGGAGAGAGCGCTGCCTCCGGCGGGGGCTCGGCCCGGGCTCACCCCTGGTGCCTGGTTCCAGTGGGGCTGCCTCTCGGGGAAGGTGGCCGCAGGGGCAGCCCTTTCCCGAGAGCGCGTCTCTGCTTGGAGACGGGTGTGGGCAGTGTTTCGGGGCTACTTGCTGAGCTGCTTGAGGGGGGCTACTGGGGGCACTGACGAGGCTCTGTCCGCAGACACGGAAGTGGTGGAAAAGCCGGCCAAGGAGGAGACGGTCATCGAGAACGCCACCCCCGACTACGCAGCCGGCCTGGTGTCCACACAGGTAGGCTCCCAGACAGAGCCTCACGTGGCCCACTGCTCCCTCGTCCCGATCCTTAGCCACTAAAGTGTGTTGTCGGAGAATACATGTATGTATATACATGTGTGCATACATACGTGTGCAGTGTGTATGCATATGGACATGCACATAAGAGGCAGCGCTGGCCAGGGGGCTCCCCGGCCTGTGCATGTCACGTGACATATGCTGGCGAGCTGAGATCACCAGCCGTGGCGCCTCGCCAGGCCCCTTTCCTGCGCGGGAGACCGGCGCCCGCCCCTCCGAGTTCCCTGCGCAGACTGAGCAGCTGTGGCCTGGAGAAGCCTCCCCTGGCGCAGCTGTCCTCGCCTCTCCTCTGTGCGCACGTCCTCCTCCGGTCGTGTTTTCATAAGAAAGCCGTTGTTGGACTTCTTTCTTTCCTCTGGCGTGGGGCTCCGTAACCGAACAGGAGCCAGCCCTCCTCTGCTGGGGCCCAGAGCAGCCCTTTCAGCCGGGGCGGCACGTGCCCTGCTCCAGGGCGAGGCTCCGGGGGGGCACGGAGACCCAGGCCTCTCCTGGGGGGACATGCACTGTCTTCCAGAAACTCGGGGCTCTCAACAGCGAGCCGTCGCTGCCCTCCACCAGCTACCTGCCTGCCACCCCCAGCGTGGTCCCCGCCTCCTCCTACATCCCCAGCTCCGAGACGCCGCCAGGTAGGTGTGGCAGCAGCGGGGGCCGCCCTCACGAGGCCCCAG